CTGTTTTTTTACATTTGGTGTGGATTTCTAGATCATAAATTGGCAATAATTGTTTCCGATGTAACAAAAGATGATGAACCAGTTGGAATACGTTTTATATTCTTTGTTTTTGCAAAATAACAAAAATCGGTACATTTCTACAGGTACGTATTATGTACAACACCCTGTACGTAATATACAGACAAAACTAGATTGCCATGCATAAACAGTCGTCAAAAACAGTGAAAACATCCTACCAGACATAATGCTACAAAATCGACCTATTATTTCCCTTTCCATTTTAATAACTGACCGCCTTTTCTGAAATGATAAAAATTTGAAATTCTATGAAAGTTATTCTAATTCTAAAGCACAAAGACATAATATTACATCTATAATGTAACGTTATTTATAAGGCAACCATTTTTTCACGACTTTATTCAACAGTTCAATAGAAATCACTGATATTCAGAGAGCGTTGACAGCTTCTGTCAAATTGCATTTGATCCAAGGGTTAGTGAAATTGGCCCGTAATATAGGATCACGGATTTGTGTATAATCCATTCCTTATTTTTATACTATTGTTTTTAATGTGTATAATCCATTTTTACCGTCCTATCGCTAAAATAAATTAATTTTTACATCCTTGACGATACCGATATGATTTGTTAAAAATTGTCTTTTGGTGAATAAGTACTATTACAATTATTATAATATTAATTGAATACGCCTATGTTATCGTCTATTTTACAAGGTGTATGCAGTGCGCTCAACTGTAAAACTAAATACGACCAGCAGAAAATGAAATATTATCTATATAATAGAACTAACAGCCCAAATTCGGTCCTAGCAGCCCGTTAGAATTTTGTATAGAAGAGTTTTGTCAATTTTCCAATTTCCCCATACCCATTACAACTCTACAAAAATTACTTGGAATGTGGATTCCTTTCGTTCGTCGTACATACAGCCGAGCGTTGGATTATCTCAAATATTATTCAAGAGGGTTTCATGCACCGTCTTCCGTTTCAATCTTCTGTATGCTATTTTAGGCCAAGAAATAGGGAAGTTTTGTATAAAGAAATCCTACAATAGGCTACTTAACTCATTTCTAATTTCATAGAATAAATGAGTGTTTCTTACAGTAGGATTTTGGCTTAGGAAAACAAAGTATATCGATTTCAATTTTTAAAAGCGCAAGATGGATATACAGGGTGTTTGGAAGGTCTATACAAAGTTTTTAGGAGGGGTTAGGGTAGACCATTTAGAGTCTTTTAAGCTAAACATACCTCAGTACAAAGTCTTAGAGTTTTCGAGATATTCGGATTTTCAAATTTAAATCATAAATTAATAAACGAAACAAAATAAATTATTGAATGATGCTTTATTGGTGATCAAAATAAGAGCCGTTGTCTCTAATACCTGCTCGAGCTCTACGAGTTACTTCGGTAGTTGTTGTATTTAATAACCTGTCTTGCTGCATTAAATAAAAAGCTTCTCGAATCTTTCTTATTAAATGGTCTCTTGATACGATTTCTTCAGCATAAACTAACTAATCTTCCAGGCAAAAAATTAGGACCGATTAGTCTTTGTCCCACGACGGCGGTCCATACATTAACGGAAAATTTGTGCTGAAAAGACACCTGATTTTTTCCAGTGTGGATTTTCCTGTTTATCAGCCCATTGATGCAAATTGTGAAAATTTGTAATGCCCTCTTTTGAACAATTGGATTCGTCCGTCCATAGAATGCTATCCAGGAACCGTTCATTCTCAATGTCACTATGTAAGAGAAAATGATAAAATTGGTTTCTGTGAATAGGATCACCATCTTCAAGTCCTTGTACGCCGATACCATGAAAAGGATATTTTCCTTCATGGTGCATGGTACTCCAAACCTTCCATGTCAACAAACCAAGATCAGCAGCAACTTTCCTAGTACTTGCAGTGGGATCATCTTTAAACGCTTCAAGGATTAGATCTTTGGCTTCAGGAGGATATCGACCTGGATTAACACCCGGTTCATTACGTGTTACACTTCCAGTCTCGTAAAGACCATGGCAAGTATTGTAAAACACTCTGACATTAGGCACTCTCCTCCCAGGAAATCGCTCTTGGAGCAACCGTTGGTCGTGCTTCTAATCCATTACCATCTGCTCTGCCATACATGTAAACTATTTCTGCGTATTCTTCGTTAGTGAAAGCGTCCATTTTATAAACTAATTAGGTCAGGGTTTTTGGACTGAAATTCATGAATTACTATTGACTTGTTTGAAAAGGAATAAAGCAAGAATGTGTGGAATTTAGTTTTATCATGCTGACACGTTCCTTCTCATCAGTATCACAAATATATTATTATTTGTTTACACTGAATTTGTTTTCCTTTCTCTCCCTTCGGAGAAAAAAACAGACTGTCAGGTATTTAAAAACTATTTCATATAGTCTGATATTCTTTCAGTGATAACCGGAACAAAGGGCGTATACGTTTTCAATAAAAATCGAAAATCTCGAATAACTCGAAAACCGTAAGACTTTGAACTAAGGTAGTTTTGGCTTAAAATTCTGTATCGTATCGCCTCCCTAAGACTTTGTATCGACCTTTCAAACACCCTGTATAACAAATATTTTTTTCCTTAACATAAAATGGTAAAAACACTATCGGCCATGATGTGAAGTCGCACAAAGTGTAAACAAAGAAATGTCATCGTATGTCACTCCTGGTCTAACGTTGTCCTCCTTATATATTTCTAAGAAACTCCTGATCAACGTAAATACATCGCTTTCTCGTTTTATTGATAAGACAATCATGGTTGTTGGATTCATAAAAGCAGAAAACTGACACATTCATAGAGTTTGAAATAGTTTTGCCTCCAATCCAGATATATGCTCTGCTGAGCTGAGGAACATCAAGACCTCTATGTAATTACAGCGTATCTGATATAGAGATACATATGTAAAGAAAGAATAAGTACATTTACTTAATCTTCCTTTGCAGAAGATATTGAAGACTAAGATGATGCATCGTAACCTCTGAATAATGTTATCTAATGTAGTACTTCTTCTTACACATCTGCCAGGGAATCGTACGGTGATGATGCCGTAGCTTACGTCGAACTTACTCGTAAACGAGACGTTAAACTCTGCACAGTAAAATGTAAAATACCATATATCCCAACATAAGGTGTGCTCCCAGCAATACACAGTGTTGCTTATATTTATGTCCTTGGGCAATGTAATCCACAGCTTTCCTGGGGTCTTTATCAATGTGTTTTTACATTCTCGGATGATACAACAACGGTAATTATGACATTTTTGATGGAAAGTAGTAAGACTCATGCTAGTATGTTCAAAAGTTTGAGACGTTATACTGCCGTCAACTGTTGTTTACAAATGATACTACCTCGGAGGACATTAATAGATGGACCAAACGTGGCGGGCAGCGTTTTCATCTGTCTAAGGAAAATATATTTTTAAATTAAGTTACGCTCTTTTATGTCTGTGTATACTAGCAGTTTTTTAGGTCTAACAGAACAAATACTAACCATTTAAGGCCGACTTAAGAAGAGCGTCAACTAGCCTATTTGGGCGATAGTAATTTTTTATGGTGGTGTCGGTAGATTATTGCTTCCTAACTATAAGTTCAAACTGGTGCCATGATAGGGCTGGATCATTTGCCGCCATTTTGAAACACGAATCTGATCAAAAATCTTGATCGTATTTAAAATAGAGTAATGGATTTGAATTCTTAATAATTTTGCTTCTATAAGAATTTGTTGTATAGTCTACAGATTACGAGGAATTAAAGGCTAAACATACATGCAGGGAAAATCCGGGCAAAGTAAGCTGTTTTTGGTTATTGTCGATTAGTTATAACTTGGGAAATTCACAAAAATGTATAACCAGCCTTCGTTAAAGGAACTTACGAAATTTTATAGCATTTGCTCTTAATACTAATTATGTTATAAGATAGGCTCACAACAGTTGCTTTCTATCCACTTTACCTGGGCAAAGCGAATAACAACAGTATTTAGCATGAAATTAAACTTACAAACAAAATAAACAAACAAAACTGGAAAAACATCATCTTTATTTAATATTTTATTTATAATAAAATGTTTATGTGGTACCAGCTCAGACTAAAGAACAACATTATTTGGGATAAAATGAAACTTAAAAACAGAAAAAATAAAAAGAGCATAATATTTAAAATAACATTTTTCTGCTACAAAACTAACTATTGCAGTTATCGCAAGCAAAATCATCACCGTTTTCATAGGCTGAACAGTCTTCATGGCAACACTCAGTACAAATTGTACATAGTATACAGTTTTCTGTTGGTTGATCATTTTGTTCAATGTACATTTCACCACAGAAAATGCAGCTGAGATTAACAAATTTCATTATTTTCTTGTGCTTTTTATTTTCTTTTGTAGTCTTTTTAGGCTAGATCTTAGAACATCCAGGTTCAGGTGAAGCGGTGGGAGCATAATTGTCGTGAGTTTCTTTTTTAGTGTCAGATCCCATAGGAGTGCACGGTCGGTCTTCAGCATACATATTAACGTCGTTTTGAGACTGAGAACGACCTAAAACTTCAAATTTATCAAACAACGAAACGAGTAAAGGATTAATGGATTCTAAAATCGGTGCATTTTCTTCTTGAATATGGCTGATGACGGAATCGGATTGTTGAGTGGCATTTGCCAATGAAGGTAATGTGGGTTGATCGTGAAAATCAATTAAAGGTGACGGTTGAACAGCCGACTAATTCAAATCAATTATTCCCAGTGAGGACAAAGTTTCAGTCTGAGTACTCGAAGTGGATGTACCTGCAAGTACCTCGGCTGGTGCAAAATGCTCATCACCAAAAGCGTGCTTGTTTATAGGCCAAATTCCAGGTCGTTCAAATCTATGCACTGCATTGATGGCCACAGCAGTTTTGAGAAAAGCTGGTGCTAGCAATCTAGCTACATCGTAGTGGTTGATGATGTGACCGGGGTGAGATTTTTAAAAAATATTGACTACCCTTTCAAAACGAGTTTTCAGTAACATCCATAATTTGCATTTTGTGAGTAGTATGCGGTGCTAAGAATAATATGAACACACTATTCTTGGTGGCATACTCAAGTGCAGGGTAGTATTTGTGGCTTTTATGGTTGTCTAATAGTAATAGGACCTTTTTGTCTGATGTTGGCCTCACTTGCTCTACGAAGAAATGCATCCAGTTCAAGAAGACTTCGCCTGATGTCCAACCGTTAGGTGTACACGTTGCTTGAGTCCCTGGCGGGCTTCCATCAAGAAGTCTTGCTTGCATCTTCCTTCTTGCAAAAATTAGGAAAGGTGGAAGAAAGCTACCAGCTGCATCACAACATCCGATGATGGTTGTCAATTGACCACGTTCTGCACTTGCAATCATGCCTACTTGTTTTTCCCCTTTACGGAGATAGCCTTTGGTAGCTTATTTGAGGTCGTTGATTTTGTCCATATTGTATAGTCTAGAGGCTTCGATGCTATTTTTCTGGCAGATTCAAGGTTTTAATAGAAATAGTTCGCGGCGATAAAATCCTTTCATTCTTGCCACAGATGTTGATTCTGGAGTTCTTAGTGTCAAGTTGGTATGACGTGATAAAAATCTTTACAGCCATTCTTCTCCAGCTTTTCGATTTTTATTCCAGCTATCAGGGTATTGCAAATTGTTCCGGTGTGCATACTCAAATGTTAGACTCATAAATTTATCCCGAGTAAGGTCGAAAAACACTGCATCCATATCTTGTAGGTAAGTCACCAGTTCAATTTCCTGATCCTTGTTGAATATAGGACGGAATCGACCGAGCTCTGGAGAAGCAATTCCACTTTTGACATACCTGTATAGGGTGGCATATGCAAGTCCGTATTTTTTTGCGGATACAGTATCCACTTTGCCCGATCCGTTTCGCCCTTAGGGTACACTTTTGAGGTCTCAAGTCATTAAAAAAACAGTACTACTACTACACATTCCTGGAAACTAAATACTCTTGCATTAAATCCTTTGCATAATCAAGAACATGCCACAAATAACATGATAGGTATAAACGAAATACCTAATGATATTTCTGGTTATAATGGGTAAACTAAGAATCTAAAGGAATAAAATAATACTATTTTTGTGGAAAATAAAATTTGCTACAAAAAATGCGTTTAACGTTTTTTTTGGCACCTTGATGGTTCTGGAAGGATAAGGAGGCAAAGTTGGAAATTCGCATCAAAATAGTTGTGCAACTTACTCCGCGTGCGAAGTACGTCCACATAATCCGCATGAAACACTATTTCACGTGGAAATAACTTCATAGTCATTATCTGTGATCGAGAACACAATTTTTAAAGTGATATTTTCATTATGAATATGAAGTTACTCACTGGCATCAGTCTATTGGAAATTACTATCTGGATTTCAATGAAAGAGAACATGTAGTTATGGAATTACTCCCTTTCCATTAAAATAGTTGCTACGGTCGCTGAGGCTGCGTAGTGACAAAATCGCCAATAGACAGGCTGATATAAATGTGTAACAAAATATCCGAAGATATTACATTCTCCATACTCACGCGTTGCAGCAAGATGAATGAATTTAGTGTAAAATGTTATCATTAATGGACGAATTATGGAGTTACTTCCACCTAAATGCATGGTGTTTGTTGACACGTGGACAACGTACGCACAAGGATGGTCTGAAAAGTTTCCGACCTAACAAAGATACAAAATATTTTTTCTGATTTTTTGTCTCATTTATAGTCTCCTTGTAACTCTCCACGTTTCTCCCAAAAATGCTCTCATCTCTGTAACCCGTCAAATTGTACTCGGCGTCTTTCTCTGCAAAACAAATGCTCTCGAAGATGATTGCCTCTTCATTTGATGAAAATATCTGTCCTTCGAGCGCAATTTTTAGATGTGGGAACAAAAAAGGGTCGCTTGGCGCTCGATCTGGTGAGTAAGGCGGATTCAAACCGTAATTCGTGGATTTCCGCCATGTCAGCCACTGAGGTGTGTGGCGGTGCGTTGTCTTGGTGACACGAGCTTTTCTGTTCGCCAGTCGCCATCATTTTTCCAGTCGAAAATACAGTTTTTGCTTTTTTGGAGCCGGTTCCCCTGTTGCAGTCGACTGTTTGTGCTGTATTTTTGTTTCGGTCGCATAATGGTGTATCCATGTTTCATCTACAGTAATTAATCGGCGCCAAAACTCGGATTTATTTCGCCTTAACTGCGCCAACATATTTTTGGTCTAACGTCAGCAAACGCGACACCTAACGCACGGAAAGCCGTCACATGCCTGCATGTTGATTTAATGGGTGAAATGCATAAAACGTAGTAGACGCTAATGCTTCAAGTATGTACTACATTTTTGAAGTTTTAACTACACTAACAACGCATTTACTTTCCTCCATAGCATCTGCTACTATGTACGAGATACATAGAAGAATATACTACGCTTTAGAAGTATTTGGTGGTTTAGTAGTATTTGCTCCAGTTTAAGTGAAGTTAGTGTATGAGCAACTTCGGTTACCGCAAATTCAGTTTTTTTTTTGAAAATGGCAGCATTCAAAAGTTTACAAACAAGCGAGGATATACAACGATGATATTTATCGTAAATTATTTAGGTAATTATCATAAATCGTGCAGTTTTATGGTTATGTAATTATTATTAATATAAAATCAAGTTACTTTCACAATTTTTTGTTTAAGGTTTAACAAAGAAAATGTAGAGTGGCTTGCAAACCATTTTCTTGACGATAAGTTTCCCCTAGAAACAAGAGGTGGAGCCTTGTCACCTACTCGGAAAATGGAGATATTTTTGAGAAGTTTAGGTTAATATAGGAAAGTAATTCCAAAATTTAAAAAATATAAATATAAATTTTTCAGGAGACCCTGGATTTCAGTAAGGAGTTGCTGTTGATTTAGATGTAAACCAAAGTATTGTATCCAGAACCTTGATTACTGTATCTGAAGCAATTTATTCCAAGAGAAATAACTGGATGACATTTCCTAATACTAACGATTTACTTGCACTTGCTATCAATGATTGGGCAAATACCAAGTGAATGCCCAGTGTCGTAGGTGCTATTGATTGCACTCACGTTAAAATAACAAAGCCACGAATCCATGGTGATGCATACGTGAATAGAAAAGGGATATGTTCAATAAATGTACAAGCTACTCCTAACGACAAAAAATCTTTGCCAGTGTGGATGCGACTTGGCCAGGCTCCGTCCACGACAGTCGAATTTGGCGAAACTCCCTAGTGCATCGAATTATGTATAATAATGTGCCAGGAGCAGCCTTGTTAGGTGATGAAGGATATGGTATTGCACCGTGCTTGTTGACACCATTTAAAAATCCAACCACACCTATTCAAGAAAATTATAATTTAATCCACGCGAAGGAACGTTGTGTCATACAACGCTGCTTTGGTCAGTTCAAACGGCGTTTTCTAATGCTCCAGTATACATTTTGCCTAAAAATTTAAAACATTCCAAAACATATTGTGAGTGCATTTGTACTTCATAACATATCTAAACATTTGCAAGATCCATACCATGATTTTGATCCAGTTCAGATGGAAGTACAAGATGCGATTGAACTGATACCTGAGGGTAATCAACCACAAATTCGAAATCGAGGCACACAACGTAGAAACGACGTTGCGGAGGTTATATTTCGTGATGTCAACTAATATAATATCATTATGCACAGGGTCATCTAATAACAAGCAAATGTTAAAAGTAAATTATGTTATGTGATATTTGGTTTCATTTTCAATTAGTAATTAATATATTAAAAAGATACATCTTAACCCTTAACTGGTCCGGCGTCGTCTGAGAGACTACGCCGTAATAACAAATCCTGTTTACGCGCCACTGGAACCGCCTACAGACGCATCACTCCGTCTAATCCTTCCCCTATTGGTCACTTGAAAATAGGCGTATTTCGGTAAATGTTGCTCATTTGTGTCCTAAGTTAGGAGCGATTATGTTTGTGCGGTAGTCTGTCAGACTACGCCGGACCGTTTGCGTTACTTTAGTACGTGGTGCACAGATACGCAGTTATGGCTGGGCCATCTAAACGGGTACGTTGGGGCGATCGGGATTATGAAGAAACTCTAGCTAGGTGGAATGACGAATTAACTGATGGTAGTGATATAGATGACGTGTCGGAAGACTATAATATTGAGTCAGAGCATGACACTAATTCTGAATTATCTGAATGTGAGGAGGACAATGGGAGTGATGAGTTGGACTCACCTGAAAGTGAAAAGAAATATATATATGGCAAAAATCGGTACAGGTGGTGCACTTCAGAAGTTCGTCCATCATCTAAGGTCCGAAGACACAATATTGTCATGAAGGTACCTGTACTGAAGTCAAAGGCAAGTATGCTTGGCGAGACAGCAGACCCCCTGGCTGTTTGGAGCTTACTTTTTAGTGATAATATTTTGGAACATATTACTCAGTTCACTAACAAAAAACTAAATTCAATGAGTGAAAAATATTCTGCTGTTTCAAAACATCACCTAAGGGATACAGATATAACCGAGTTGAAAGCTTTTTTTGGATTACTTATCTACACAGCTGTATTCAATTCAAGTCATGAACATCTGGACCATCTATTTGCAACAGATGGAACAGGTAGGGACATATTTAGAGCAGTTCTCAGTAAGAAAAGATTTGCTGTCCTTTTAGCTGCTATAAGATTTGATAATCGGGACGATAGAGAGGAGCGCAAAAAGGATGACCCTGCTGCAGCTATATCCTTTGTATTCAACAGTTTCATAGAGAATTGTCAAAGTGTTTATGGATTAGGGCAATCTGCTACTGTAGACGAAATGCTGGTTAATTTCCGTGGGAGATGTCGCTTCAAGATGTACATGCCAAACAAGCCAGCAAAATATGGTCTCAAAATTCAGTGCTTGACAGATGCGCGTAATAGCTATTTATACAATGCTTACATCTACTGCGGAAAAGACTCGGATGGTTTTGGTCTCAGTGACGAAGATAAGAAACTTTTAAAACCTACGCAAGCAGTATTACGCCTAGCAACACCACTCTTCAACAGCAATCGCAACATTACAGCTGATAACTGGTATTCATCAATACAGTTAGTGGACGTCCTTCTAAAAAAAAAATTAACATATGTAGGGACCCTAAAAAAAAATAAGGCCGAAATACCACAGACTTTCCTACCCAATCGCAAAAGAGCTGCAGGATCAACACTCTATGGATTTAGGGAGGAATGTACAATAATTTCCCACGTTGGGAAGGTTGGAAAAGCCACAATTCTGATATCTTCCATGCACGACAGAGAATACACTGACCAAGTAGCTAACAAACCCGAAATAATCACTTATTATAACGAAAATAAAGGAGGAGTCGATTCCATTGACGA